GTCACTGCTCCGGGCCCGCGGTGTCCTCTCGGTGCAGCCTGGCCGTGCTGTGTGTCCCCGTGTCCCCGTGTGTCCCCTCTCACCGCACAGACACTGTCCCCGTGTCCCCCTCCGTGTCCCTGTGTCCCCTCACTGCGTCCCTGTCCCCTCTCGCTGTTCATCATTGTCACCTCCAGGAGGGTGGCCATGTCCCTTTCGCAGGCACGGTGACACGGATGGCGCCGGTGTCACTCCCGCCTGGGGAAACTGAGGCAGGTAGTGACAGGTTGGGACTTGTCCCTGCAGCGGGGGCGGGGCCGGGGCAGCGGAGCCGCCCGGGGGGGTCCGGGGGTGGCCCTGTCCCCTCCCTCCCCTGGTCCCCTGCTCGGGGTCCCCACTCCCCGGAGGGTGGCAGTGCCACGTGGGATGTCCCCGGGCAGCTCCGGGGTTGATGTCGCAGGGTCCCACCCCGAGGGTGACAATGCCGTTTGGGGGTGTCCCCCGGCGCCCCGTGCTGATGTCGCGCGGTGCCACCCCCCCGGGGGGTGACAGTGCCACTCGGGGATGTCCCCGGGCAGCTCCGGGGTCCCTCTCGGTGCCGCAGGGACAGCAGCGGGGTCCTGCCCGGCTGTCCCCGAGGCGCTGCCACACCCCGCGCGTGGCTGTCCCCTTGTCCCCAGCTCAGGGACACAACGCCCGCGTCCCCCGCGCTGCTCCCCGCGCCTTTTACGAGCTTGGCCGCAGCCCGCGTGTCCCTGGGGGTGTCCCCGAGTGTCCCCAACCCCTGCCACCCCTCCGCGGCCACCCACCCGCGCCCCCTCCCCTCCCACCCGGGGATGGGGACGGACACACCGGGGCTGCTCCGGCACCCCCGGGACCCCCGGCTGAGTTTTTGGGGTGTCGGGGCGGGGGTGCCGGGCGGGTGAGTAAGCGGAGCGCGGTAATTAAAGGCGGGGAGGCTCTCGCCACAGCAGGTTCCCACAAATGGAGGCCCCGCGGCCACAGACACGGCACAACAAAGCACCGAGCAATTATTTGGCTCCAGTGGGAGCTGCCGGGCCCGTGGGGGCTGGAGCCAGCCGGGCACCCCCCCGGGAAAGCAGCGCTGGCACCGCCGAGGGGACCCCGGGAGGAGCGGGGGGACCCCCTCCTCACCCGATGGGGTGATGGGGACCCCCTCCTCATCCTCCTCATCCTCCTCGTCCTCCTCATCCTCCTCGTCCTCCTCATCCTCCTCATCCTCCTCATCCTCCTCATCCTCCTCGTCCTCCTCATCCTCCTCGTCCTCCTCATCCTCCTCGTCCTCCTCATCCTCCTCTTCCTCCTCGTCCTCCTCATCCTCCTCACCCCCAGAGCGGATCGGTTTTGGGGGATGCCCGTCGGTTTTTAGGCGTCCCAAAATCTCTCTCGGGGGGGGTTTGGGATGGGTTTGGACGCCCCAAAAAGCTCCAGTGCTGCAAGGGGATCCTCATCCCCTTGGATCCTCATCCCCTTGGATCCTCATCCCCTTGGGTCAGGGGTTGGGGATCGCCCAGTTTGGGCACCCCAAATTCTGCACGGGGATTGGGGTTCCCCCGTCCCTTCCTGAACACCCCAAAATCCTCCAAGCACCCTCTGCAGGGGGGATGGGGATCCCAATCCTCTCAGAGAACCCCGATCTCCTCTCAGAAGAGGATCGGGCACCCCTAATTCCCTCCCCTCGCCCCCCAAAATAATCCCGAACCCCCTGAACGCCCCAATCTTTGCCAACCTGAGCACCCCAAAGTCTGCACGGGGACCGGGGATCCCCAAAGCCCCCCGCACCCTGGGGGCACCCCAAACCCCTCCAGAGCCCCCCGGACACCCCAACCTCTCTGAGGGACCCCCCTGCAGAGCACCCCAACCTCTGCTGGACACCCCCTGGGGGCACCCCAACCCCTCCAAGCACCCCGAACTGCCCCAGCACCCCAAGTCTGCGATGGGGCTGGGGACCCCCATCCCCCGGGACACCCCAAAACCCCGCTGTGCCCCCTCTCCGGAGGGGTCGGGGTCCTTCAGGAGCGCCATCACCCCCCGGATCCCCCAAATCGCCCGCACGGACCAGCCCGGGGTGCCCCGAGGGGCCTTTGATGGGCGGGGGGCGAGGGGGATCCCCGGGACTCCCCTCCCGCCGGGGGACCCCGCTGACGTCATCCGGCTTCAACCGCTCAGACTCCTCCTCGCCAATCACAGGCGCAGCTCGTCCGCCTCGCGCTTTTCATTGGTCCATCAACCTGTCAATCAAAATATATCGACCGATCAAAATCCGGTGATTGATTGATCCCGCCCACGAGGAATATTCCCTCCCTTAAGACCTGTCAATCAAACAGCACCTAGCCTCAGGCCAGGCTTGCGTCCATTGGCTGTCTCTACTGTCAATCAAATATCTGTTCTGTTATTGGCTGTCCGCTGCCGTCCGTCACCTCTGAGCCCCGCACCCATTGGCGGAACTCTCCCCCTATCACGAGCCTTATTGCTCAGCTTAGCTGCCAATCAACCCTTAACCCGCCGCGGATTGGCCGCCAGTCCATCATCTCTCCTCCCATTGGCCAGGTCGCCGAGAAGCCGAGCGGCGATTGGTCGAAACCCCGCCGGGGGGCGGGCGGAGCAGGGCGGTTCCCGGCGGAGGAAGATGGCGCCGTGAGCGGGTCGGAGCCGCCGCCGCCCCCGGCCGGTCAGTGCGGGGGGGAGCGGGGCCGGGGCGCGGCCGCTCCGGAGCCGCCGGGGCGGGGAGCGGCCCGCGGCCTCCCCGACCCGCCCTCCCTCAGCGCACGGCGGGCGGGCGGCGCTTCCGGCAGCTGGGCCCGCTCGGGGGCGGGCCCGGCCTTTCGGACCCGCCTCCCCCGGGACCGCCCGGAGGGACCGGGGGGGTCCCGGGGATGAGACCGGGGGGTCCCCGGGGGGTCCTCGGCCCATCCCGGGGTCACTCGTGGGGGTCCCGGTGATGCGGGGTCAGGGCGGGCCCGGGGCTCCCCTCACGTGGGGCCGGGCCGGGCTCTGAGGGGGATTTCCCTCTCTCCCGGTTTTGGGGAGTTTTGGGGGGGTTTGGAGCAGGAATTTTGTGGGATTTGGAGAAGGATTCGGGCTGGTTCCGCTTGGGGGGGGTCCGTTCGTGTGGTGGGCTCGGGGTTGGTTCCCTTGGAAGGGTTCATAGGGCTGGGGAATTGGGGCACGGGAGGGATTCGGGATGGTTCCCAAAATTCCCTCGTGGGATTCGTTCCCCTGATGGGATTCGGGATGTTTCCCAAATTTCCCTCGTGGGACTCATTTCCCGATGGCATTTGGGCTGTTTTCCCTTGTGGGATTCATTCCCTGAGTGGGATTCGAGATGGTTCCCAAGTTTCCCTCGTGGGACTCATTTCCCGATGGGATTCAGGATGTTTCCCAAATTTCCCTCACGGGATTTGTTCCCCTGATGGGATTTGGGATGGTTCCCAAATTTCCCTCGTGGGATTCATTTCCCGATGGCATTTGGGCTGTTTTTCCTGGTGGGATTCATTCCCCGAGTGGGATTCGGGATGGTTCCCGAATTTCTTTCATGGGATTCATTCCCTGAGTGGGATTCAGGATTGTTCCCGAATTTCCCACATGGGGTTTGTTCCCCTGATGGGATTCGGGATGGTTCCCAAATTTCCCTCACGGGATTCATTTCCCAATGGGATTTGGGCACCCGTCCCTCTTCCAACACCCCCAAAAATGGGATTTCTGCAGGGAAAATGGGATTTCTCCCAGGGAAAATGAGATCTCTCCCAGGAAAATGGGATTTCTTTCAGGAAAAATGGGATTTCTCCTGGGAAAATGGGATTTCTCCTGGGAAAATGGGATTTCTTTCAGGGAAAATGGGATTTCTTCCAATGAAAATGGGATTTCTCCAGGGAAAATGGGATTTCTCCAGGGAAAATGGGATTTCTTCCAGGGAAAATGGGATTTCTCCTGGGAAAATGGGATTTCTTCCAGGGAAAATGGGATTTCTCCCAGGGAAAATGAGATCTCTCCAGGGAAAATGGGATTTCTTTCAGGAAAAATAGGATTTCTTCAGGGAAGATGGGATCTCTTCTGGGAAAATGGGATTTCTCCAGGGAAAATGGGATTTCTTCCAGGGAAAATGGGATTTCTCCTGGGAAAATGGGATTTCTTTCAGGGAAAATGGGATTTCTTCCAATGAAAATGGGATTTCTCCAGGGAAAATGGGATTTCTCCAGGGAAAATGGGATTTCTTCCAGGGAAAATGGGATTTCTCCTGGGAAAATGGGATTTCTTCCAGGGAAAATGGGATTTCTCCTGGGAAAATGGGATTTCTTCCAGGGAAAATGGGATTTCTCCTGGGAAAAT